CCAGTCCAAATACTCGGTCGGGTTTTAAGAGGGCCGACCGGGAATTTTTGAAACGCTGCGCAGCAGTCGAAGGGAAATACCCGACTTAGGGTAAAAATACACGGTCTGGTATTTAGGGCCCTCGACCGGGAAGCCTTCTGTTTCTCATGGGCTCTCCTGGGCGAATACCGTATCTCCCAACCAAATATACCTGGTCGGGTATTTGAGTGACCTGACCGGGTATTTTGATTTTCAGCTCCTCCTTGCCGCCAACTCCCCATTTTTTACCCAAAACTCGCTTCCAAGCCTCCCTTTCCGCGCCAAGTCCTGAAATATGACATAAAAGCACAACCTAGTATGAAATCGGCTTAAAACACGAGAATCGACTCTCAAACAGTTCAATAATAGGGGGCAAAATATGTGCAGATAGCGGTTTATCACATTGTAAATTTGTTTCATGTTGTGGTGAGCACCATACTTATCATGCGGAAACTTTCTCATTTGTTTCGGATGAGTCATCGTTGCCTCCATTTCTTTGATGTCTTCTTTCTTCTCCTTCGTGAGAGTATTTCTTTGGTTGCTCCTTGTAGAATAAAGCTCAAGTTTGGATTATGAAACCCCCTCAATTGCACCACACCAGCAATTTTCCATTTCAAAGAATCATCCATAAGTATTGCACATACTGCCACTTTGAATCGCAACCCAACTTGCTCGTCTTCGTATTATTCCATCTTACTCATCTTCGTATTATTCCATCTTACTCATCGAGATCTTGGATATATGCTATGACCTGTAACCATGGTTTCAATCCATATATATCCGATGATTCTCTCCTTCCGTATTTCGCTTGATTGACGACACTGCCGAGAAAAAGATGAGAGATTTTGCTATCTCCTTTGCTTCTTACCGAGCATTGTCCTCGGTATCATAAAAACCTTTGCATATGAAGAATTGTGTGTAATCAACTTTGTCACATTCGTCATCTCAAGAACCCCCTATAAAAAACATACAAAAAATTTCAAACCAATACACCAATAATTAATACAAGTTCATTCATTTGTTATAAACTTTATTTAAATGAATATTTATCATATTATTCATACCAAACTCCTTATTATATCAATGGTGTTGCCACTTGTGTAGAGAACTTCAACAAAGTTGTCTCCCTAACAAACAAAATTATTAGTATAATTTAGAGATAATTTAATCCAAAAGTTAAATAAATTATGTTCCGGACATGCTGGGAACCATCCCAAGCATGGTTGTCACGCCGCGTGCCACCGGTTGTACTGGGTTCAACCGGTACTGGTCATAAAACCGGCGTGACACCACCGGTATGACCGGCATGATCGATATACGAATCTCTAAGTAAAATGACCTTATTTTAGAGAATTTAATTGATAAAAATTAGTTTATAATTTATTTTATGAGTATAAAAGTTAAATATTGATGTTATTTTTTGGATTCAAGTATAAATGTTTAGGTATTGGCGTTAAATGTCATGTTTAAATATGAGTATTTATAATTTTATTTGTAATATTGACCGGCATGAACCGGCACAAACCGGTATGTGCCACCGGTTGAACCATTCCACTTGCTGAATCGGCACACTGGCATAAACCGGTTTGACAACCTTGATCCCAAGCATTCGAGGACATGCTAGATACTTGTACCAAGCATGTCGGAACATGCTAGAAACTTGTATGGACTCTGGACATGCTGAAAATCCGTCCGAGAAATGTCTGTACATGTTGAAAACCCGTTCGACCCCAAAATGTTGTTAAAAATGCTCTTCTTCACATTGTGCTTGTTGATGTGACTTGAATCAGACTATCAGCCGTTACAACTTGAATAGTGATGGTGTACGGGCTCAATGTTATTTGGGTTCGGGTTCTGGGCTTGGTCTATAACTGTTTCCTTTACCAGATTGGATTAGGTTTAGACCCACATGGAGAAATATAAATACTTCTCATCTCCTTTATAATATGTAATCTTCTCGATATAGTGAAACTGGCTCTCTCTCGCCCGTGGACTAGCTAACACACATCGTGTTAGTGAACCACGTAAATCGTGTGTCGTATTTTTTTCGATTCTCCCTTTCGTATTCTTTCTTTCTCGATTCCGGCGATTCCCCAATCCGTAGCAGCGCGTTTATAACAGTGCTGACGGTGACGATTGGGCCTCTAGTGAGGTGGAGGACTCCGACAACGAGTGGACACTGAAAAGTGTGGGTGTAATAGTTGTTTTATTACTCTTCTTCTTGTTTGGTGTTGTTTCTTGGATGTATTTTGTTATTTGGTGTAGTGTATGTTTTTGTTTTAGAGTGTCAAGTGTTTGAAAGACAAAAAAAAACTAAAAACAATAAAGTAAATTTAACGTAGTTATGGCCATAAATAAGGATTTTTAGGGTGATTAATAGCAATCCAAAAATACAGCGAAGAGGTGAAGACCGATGGAAAGAGAAGATCTATAAGTAAAGGGCTAAATTGCAAGTTTGGTAACTGGAATTACTTAAAAAGTTCACATTTGCTACTAAAATTAATTTATTTAATTCGTAGTCTCTAAAATTAATTCAATGATTCAAGTTTGGTCACTCACCATTAGTCTCCGTTAACTTCAGCTAACGTGACAGTCAACTCTAAGAGTTGACCGTTAAATAATAATAATAAGTAAAATTTAATCTTTTAAAAATTCCACATCATTTTTACAATATATTAAAAATAGAAAAATAATTTAATTTAATTTCTTTCCTTGCTCTCTTTTCTTTCTTCCTTATCCTCCCACTCTCCGCCAGGGATGGCAATGTGTCGGGTTTAGGGCGGGTTTACCTAAATCATCTTCATCCCCATCTTCAATTACCCAAATCCATACCCGCCCCATATTCATGCGGGGAATGTTTTGCAAACCCATCCCCATACCCTTGGGTTTTGGGTACCCATGGGTAATACCCGTCATCGCACATCCAACATTATTATACCTAACACTTACAAGAAATTTTTTAATTATAACTCTAAACGAACGTATTATATCATGAAGTGAACAAAGCACGGTCATTTTGTTAATCCGGTTCAAAGAATATGATCCTAAAACATCTATTAATACATAATGTAGAGTACAATATTTTCAAAGTATTATGCTCTAACTTTGATACATCTACTAAGTAATAATTAACTAACATAATCTTGTTGACAAGGGTGAAAGTGAAAGAGTGAAAGGAAAATTAAGGGAAATGAATTATGTTTTGATTTAGGTGGTCACTCAATTGCAATATTTCTACTATTTATTTTCTCTTGTTATCCTCACCATCATTGATAGATTACAATTTGATCCACATATTTTTTTATATGTGAAGAAATTCTCTTGGTGTGACGGGTATGGGTATGGGTATGGGGCGGGGAGGCCAAAATCATACCCGCCCCATACCCATCAAACTTTTTGCGGGTTTTACACATACCCACCTCATACCCGGTCAAAGCGGGGATTACCCGCGTTGACTGGGTCGGGGACAATCAGGTACCTATGCTCATGGGTTTGATTGTCATCCCTACTCTCCGCTAGGGATGGCAATGGGTAGGGTCGGGTGCGGGTTTACCCAATACCAACTCATAACCCGCCGGGTAGAGCCTTCTAAAATACCCGACCAAATAACCACCGGGTATGAAAATTATATAACCATACCCTACCCACCGGGTAACCACGGGTATTCGGGTAACCATGTGTACGAATCCTAAACTATGAACTTATGCACATATATGCACATACATACTGTTGTCCATTAAAAATTCTCAATACTTGTAACTGTTCTAGCTTCAACAATCCACACAAATAAAAACAACAAACACATAATAATTGTTCTTGCTTCTACAATCCACACAAACATAATAATCGTCTACATCTTCATTATCAATAATGGTAGCTAAACTCAATTTCTCAAGCTAAACTAAATTTATCAAGGGAAATTGACCCTTTGGTTAGCAGGGCGGGTATTATCGATTACCATACCCGTACCCTACCCTTTATTTTGAAACCGGGTATTACCCGTACCCGCCCCTTAACTCGTTAAAGCGGGTAATTACCCTCGTTGACCGGTTACGGTCGGGTAGGGTACCCATGATTACGGGTTGGATTGACATCCTACTCTCCGCCCAATCCTACACGATTAGTGTCCCACCCCCGCCACGACACCGCTGAATAGGATAGGTTTTCAATCCCTAATCGTCCAAACCCATTCCAGGGGAAAGTTAATCTGCTAACTTGAAGATTCGTTAGCAGATACTAACTGATATCCAAAATACATAAACTAATATCCAAGTACTAAAGTATCTAGAGAGCACAGACTAGTATTCAAAGTTTGCTAACTGATATCCACCATGAATCAACTATTATCCCAAATTCACAAACTAATATCTAGACAACACAGAATAGTATCCAAACAATAGATAATTAGTATCCAGATAACACATAAGAGTATCCAGATAACCCATAAGAGTATCCATATCGAATACTAGTTGGTTGATTGTGGATATTAATTGATATATGATATCTGGATACTAGTTTGTTATGTTTTGAATACTAGTTTGTGCTATCTAGATACTGAGCAGACTTGAATATTAGTTCATACATTTTGAATATTAGTTAGTATATACTAACAAATTTTCAAGTTAGCCGAATAACTAGACCGCCAATTCCATAACTAAACTGCCAATTCCATACCAAGCATAGACACTCTTTCTTTAGGCGAGCTTCTTTCCGTCAATCCCTCTACTGCACGTCCACCCAATCCCAGCTTCACCGTCTGAAGAACCTTCTTCACTCCACTCTTCCAGTTCTTGAACGGAGCCCGATAATTAATTAACTAATCACACACCCTCTGATCTGCCCTGTGAAACTGCTTCAACCACGACGTCTCTTCATTCCCACCGTCCACGGACCTTCTCCTTCCTCCACCATTCTCTCAATCCCCCGGCTCCGACTTCACGCCGTCTCTCCGTCTTCCTCCATCGCCGCCACCGATGCACTCGTCAATTCTCCCTTCCTCTTTTCGCACCAATCGCCACCCCGAAAATCCTCACTTCCTTCAACTCGCCGGGACAACGCTTCACCGGCATCAGATCCAGCGGCGCCCTCGCGTCCTCTGCCTGAGAATCAGCTCTGCCGGTGTAACTTGACACCATGGAGAATATGTTGTTGCAGAGATTCTTCATCTCCAGCAACTCCTTGCTCAGCTGCATGTTGTCCTTTCGGAGCCTCTCGTTCTCGCCGAGCAGCTCCGCCGCCGCCCCTCTTGCCCCGGGGAGAGGCGAGGAGGAAGTCGCGGAAGCGCAGAACCGCTCCTCGCCTGAATTCGACGACGACGCGAAATGCTTCATCTATACATGAGTCGGGGAAGGAGTTTGTGCTGATGACAGGACCTTCCGCTGTTGTATCTCGCAGAGGAGAGACCTCTCTCCTCGTCGGAAACAATCGTTGGAGAATTACCATCGATCCGACAGCAGTTTCTGAAACCCTAATTGGAAAATAGAGAAAGCCGAAATGATTTCAATTTCCGATACGACTGTGCGGAAGAGATTCAGAGAGCAAGGAAAGAGATTAAATTAATTTTATTTTTTAATTTATTGGGAAAATGAGGTAAAAATTTTAACAGATTAAATTTTATTAGTTATATTATTTTTAATTGTCACACCACTTATTTAACGGTCAACTTTTAGAGTTGACTGGCATGTTAACTAAAGTTAACGAAGATTAACGAAGAGTGACCAAACTTGAATCGTTGAACTAATTTTAATAGCAAACTTAAACTTTTAAGTAATTCCAGTGACTTCTAATTTAGCCAAAAGTAAAGTGTAGTTGTGTACTACGGGCTGGGCCTAAGTCGTGACGAACAAAGCCCAGAAGGCGAGAAAACGCGCGTTACATATATTCCATCTTGCGTTTTACTGACGCGACAGGACCAGATACGTGCAGTATCTTCTCATCGTCGCTCAATCACTTCAGCAGCATCTCCTCCTCCTCCCCTCTGTTCCCGGCTTCCCGCAGATTTCCTCAGCCTGCGAAAATGGCGAGCGGCGGCGGAGGCAAAGTCTCTTTCAAAGTCACTCTCACCTCCGATCCAAAGCTTCCTTTCAAAGTGTAAGCCAACGCCTCACCATCGTGGTCTTTTCAGTCTCTCTCTTCGATTGACTTTGGTGCGCTGATCGGTCAGTTTTAACGTTTTTTTTTTTCTTTCAGGTTTAGCGTGCCAGAAGCAGCTCCGTTCACCGCCGTCTTGAAATTCGCAGCAGAGGAATTCAAAGTGCCTCCCCAGACCAGTGCGATCATCACAAATGGTACTTGAATTCTTTTCTGATTCTTGTGTCGTTTTTAACCGTGTGCTAGGTTTGAAGGTTCTAGTTTGGGTTTCTGGTTCATAATTTAGGTGAACAGTGTCTACATAAGTTGATCGACGGTATCCTTGAAAGTTTGTGTAATATCAGAGTCTGCCAATTGCATGGTGCGATCTGTTTGGGACTCTGATCTCAGCGTTAAATTTGGGTCTAGTTAGAAAGCTGTTCTGATACCGTGAATGTGAAACTGGTCTGACTCCACCAAATTTGTAGCAGTTTGGCTATACGGTAGCTGCATGTGAGCTCGAATGGTTTCTGCTGTATTGTGGCCTAGTATCATTTTGTTGAGCTAGGGAAGAGATGTAGAAGGGGGTTGTGCCGTGTTTAGGCTAGATATCAGCATCTGATGATCTGCCATTAAATAAGTGCTTCAACTGAATACATTGAGCCTACACATTTATAATGTGTCTCGGTTGCTAGCTCTGTTAGCTGATTAGGATTCTTTATCAGTCATATTTGGTCTTTGACCCCAAATTGTTTGGTACATCGAATTTGGTTTTGGTTGGGACTTGTATGTTGAAGCTACCAATAAAATATCCCCACCATAAAATTTCCGATACATGTGACCATGAATTGCCTGTTGGGATCATGATCTCTGTGTGGATATCATCGAACCTTGAGCAATCCTTGCTTGTTGATGTTTCGCTGCCTCCATCAAGCTTTGTCATATTGTTAAATTAGTTGCTGCCACTATTTGGCTGCTGTTTACTGAGTGTCTGGAGAAGCCTTCGAGTTGCAGAAGAAAAAAGTGAAATTGGCTTCTAGGTGAACTGCATATTGGAGTGAAACCTTGAAAAGATAGATCTGGGCTGTAGGGGAGCTTTAGTTGAAATAAAAGCAGTACACTGTCAATATCTAGCCAACTCCCCCCCCCCCCCCCCCCCCCCAACTACTCTCCTACAGATTATTTGGTCGAGTTTTAATTTCTTACATATGCATTTCTGTTGTTTTTCTGGTACAAAACAAGCTACTCGTTTGCATTTACAGGTTGTGCAAAACCTAGGTTGATTGAGTTAACATTTCTATGTTCTTTTTTCCTTTGAAAATTTCTAAGTTGTTACTTAAAATTGCATTTTTTTGTCGGTTGGGTATGCAGATGGAGTTGGAATTAATCCCCAACAAAGTGCAGGTATGCTTTTCCTTTTTCTTTTCCAGATAGGCTATATGTTCATTTTATTTGCTGTGGCTCCATTGGGTGTCATTTGCGATTGTGGCATTCTGCCCAAGGTTCAATAGTTAACACTCTACATTTTCAGAATTTGGCCGAAATCATTTCCAAAGCTGAGTGTCCCTTTTTCACCCATTTCATTGCTATATGCTAAGGCAATCTTTGGTTAACTTAGGTAATGTCTTCCTCAAGCATGGCTCTGAACTGCGCTTGATACCTCGTGATCGAGTTGGAGCTTCTGACTATTGAAGCAGCATCGCCGGTCATGATCTTCCATTAAATCAAAACTTTTAAGTGTGCCCTGTAGTCCTGTATCTTTCCCTGAGCTGACAGAAGGGTAAAAGAATAGCTACTGCACCTGCCTGATCGAGCTAATGTAACTAGCTATGATGCACTGCAATAAATGGAATACACATATTTTTAAAAAAAATTCTCAAAATACACACGTTTTATGAAATATTCCCAATCTACACATGTTTGGACAAAACCGCGGTGGTTAAACGCGGTGAACAGTATCACCGTGGTTGTCAGAAGCGATGAACGCTTCACTACATCCTATAAACGCGGTGAACGCTTGTTGGCCAATCACCGCTTGTATCCAACGCGGTGATGGCCTGATTATTATCACGGCTTTCTTTTTGTAGGCAGAAGATTTGGTAATTCTAACTAAAGGCCCATAAAAGTAATTATATGCCCAAAGTAATTATCAGTGCTTCTCTATCCCAAAAAAGTGGTCGTTGGCCACCAGTTCTCTTCTAATTCTTCTTCTGCCCCCTCTATTTTCCTTTTACAACTCATCGAATCTTTTTCATTGGATTCCACCGATTCCCCAGGCGGCGGCTGCCGCTGCTGTGCCATTATCCTCCTCCCGTAAACCTAACAACAATATTAAAAAACCCCCTGCCCGGCGACCATATCTTCCGGCGGCGGCGACAACCCAAAATGGTCACCGAGATCTGACACCATCCCAGTCGAGCTTGAATGATTCCGGTGATTGATTCTCGACCTGCTTTTCTCAAGCGGTCGCCATGGCCACGTCCGGGGCCTCTCCGTCTTCCTCGGACAGACGCTAATTAAGTAATCAGGCCATCCCTTCATAAAAAAATTTAAAAAAAAAATAATCAGGTCATCACTGCATTGGACAGAAGCGGTGAATGGCCAACAAGCGTTCACCGCTTTTAAAGGCTGCAGTGAAGCGTTCATCGCTTCCGACGACCGCGGTGATACTGTTCACCGCGTTTAACGAACGCGGTTTTGTCAAAACATGTGTAGATTGGGAATATTTCATAAAACGTGTGTATTTTGAGAATTTTTTTTAAAAACATGTGTATTTTGGAATTTTTCCCCATTTTTTTATACAATACAGATAGGAACGAGGGATGAATAAGAGGTTGCCTTGTTTTTCATTACCAAGAAATTGCCTTGTTCCTTTTGGAGAATGCGTTACCTGATTGTTCTTTTTAAGTAATCAGCGTGGCTACCTTTTTTTTTGGCCATACAGATCATGTTGATCCAATCTGAGGGCTCATCTTGCAGAAGGGTGTTTTCGGAAGGCACCATAGGATCATTCTTTCACCCGACGTCATTATTAGGGGCCCGAAATTAGTGGCCCGAAATTAGTGGAATCTTTCCTTTTCTCACACTCTCTCTTTTTATCGTTTTCCTTATCACCGCCGCTACCCAAAAAAGCCTTTTCCCTTTAGCATAAGCTTTTTCACCGCCCCTTGCTATACCTAGGGGTGGAAATCGGTATGGTATCGGTATCTCAATACCAAATATCGAAATCCCGAATACCGAATTACACCCTAAAGTCAATCACAATCCCAATCCCTAAATAATTTCGGTATCCCAATCCCAATCCCTAAATATTTCGGTATCCCAATCGGTACTTCGGTATCCCAATCGGTATTATCAAATACGAAAGTAATTACCTTTGCAATTAATAATTAAATATATAAATTAGATTTTATTGTTTAATTTACGGGAAAAAGACTAAGCAAAGAGTTTTGAATTAGGATATTATTATGGAGAGTGGAGGAGAGGAGACATCTCAAGTTCTTGTTATTGATAATCTTTAATTTGACGAATTAGAGGTTGAGCGACGACTATTAATAATGATGGAATGATCTGTGTATAATTAAATGACACTTTTGGTGGTTGAGGGTCATTTAGTAGTAAATGAGAGAGTTTAGTTGAGAGGATAAAATACAAACTATCTTATATTTCGGTATTGATCGGTATTTCGGTATATCCCGATCCCAATCCCGTAATCCCTAATACCGAATAACAATTGAAATTCAATCACAATCCCAATCCCAAGAAATAATACGTGTATTCGGTAATACCAAATATAGACAAATTCGGTACGGTATTCGGTATATCCCAAATACCGGTATCAAACTTCCAGCCCTAGCTATACCCATCGTTCTCTCCGGGCGCCGAAGTCATTTTCTCTAGGCCGACGACTGGTTGTGTTCTTAGTGGTGGATCAGCAAGGGTTTGGACAACTACCTTTCGTTTCCAGTTCCTCCCACTTCGACGGAACACATCGCACCAACGAGGTTATTTCAGCTCCTCTGGCGTCTTGTTGTCTCCGTTCGTTTCCCAGCGCAGTCGACAGAAAGGATAGCTGGATCATGGCTCGACAACTCATTTCGGTGGTGAAAAACTCGTCAAAAGTTGGTCCCCGCTAGAACCCTAATCATCAAATTTAAACTAGGTGTAATAGTGCCCTTTATGGTATAGACATTGCATGTGTTTCCAATCGTATGTATTTGGGGTTAGGTTTTGTGTGGAATGGTATTAATTTTGCTTTTTTGTTTCTGTTGCGGAATTGCATGTAATTGGAACGTGCAATGATATTGGTGAAGATAGTTTGCAGTGGTATTTGATCTTGGCGGTGTTATACTTGTATGTTTTTGCTATTTTTGTAAGATTTGTATGCACTGGTAGTGATCTATCAATTTGTTTTTTGGCTACCGACATGTGATGTTTGGTGTGGAATGGTAGTGTTTATTTCGTATTTGTGTAATGGTCGTGTTCTTTTTCATGCAATGGTATTTGTTAGTTTTTTATGCATTGGTATTGGTTCATCACTTCTACAACCGTATTGAATAATGTGAGATTTGTTAATGCTAAAACTATACTAAAACTATACACAAACCACATACTAAGAGGTCGTTGCGAATGTTAAATCGTTGCATTGTAATGAATCGCCATAATATAAAATGCATGTATTGATACAATGAATGCATTTTTACAATACATTGTTTGGTTGTTGAGATTCTAGTTTATGCATTAATTTACATAAAGTTACTTTTATGGGGAAATGTCACATTTATCCTCAACTTTTAGAATAAGACAAAAACTATTGGGGATATAAATGAAAAGAAAATGTTGACACAAATCTAAAACCAACAATCACAACAATCTCAACTTTTAATTGAGATTGTATAATGCATCATTTTTTGTGATTGTTGGTGGGACCTACATAAAACAATGCATGCATTGTTTAACACTTTGGCACTTCCAAATATTGTATTGTGCACAATACATGTATTCAACAAACACAACTCTAACAATCACAGCTTCCAAACGACTACTAAAACTATACATTAGTTTTTTGACAATAGGACACTGAATTTCCATTGAGAAGCTGGCAAAAGCCACAAACGTTACAAAAGAGGGGCAACAACATCAAGGATCTGTATCCATTGCGAAGGGAGTTGACTTTTTGCACAAGCTCTAGCAACCCAATCCGCTTTGGAATTGTTCTTTCGCTTGATGTGTTTGATCCGGATCAGGGGGTTACTTTCCAGCGTCTGTTTGACGATACCCAGCCAAGCTGCTGCTCTCCATGGCCATGTAATCGGACTGTTCCTAACCGCTCTCACCAGGGCCAAGCAGTCGGACGGTAGCAGGCAGGGAGAGTTGAGGGAGGCGGCCACACGAGAGCCTTCTAACAGAGCCTTCGCTTCAGCTTCAATGGGGGAAAACAGTGCAGAGTACCAGCTCTTCCATCACACACTTGACCATGGCTGTTCGTAACTACAACGCCATAAGCCGCCTCCTGGGAATCGTCAAAAAACGATCCATCGTAGTGTACTTCAAAGACATGAGTACCTGGCGGTGGTGAAGAATGCTCTTGGGGTGGGGTGAGCTGGGAAGTGAGGGAAGCAATTTGAGTCTTCCTTGGGCAGGTGCTCCACTGAAGGTGTGCCATTGCTGCCTTGGAAACAGTGGATGGTGGCCAAATGGTCAAATTCCTGAAGATCTTCTCATTTCTCGTTTTCCAAGTCTGCCAAACGAGAAAGATGATTTTCTGGATCGAGCCAATCGAGAAGCTGTGTCGAAGGGCATCCAACCATTCCAAGAAAGGGGTGAGGGGGCAGGCAGGGGCAGTGAGGGCCACTCCTGTTTCCAACCTTCAGCAGCATGGGTGCAAGAGAAGCGACAGTGATGAATAGATTCAGTGTGGACATCACAGAGCGGGCAAGCTTGCGAGGTAGCACATCTTCTCGCATATAAATTTTCTTTAGTTGCGATCGCTCCTCTAGTCGCCCTCCACGCAAAAAACTTCAGCTTCGGAGGGATGGACAGGCTCCAGAGCCATTTCCACCTTTGCTTAGTGGACTCGGACACTTCCTCAACCTGTGGAAGAGACCTTCTGACGTGGTTATGGAAGTGAATGAAGACAGATTTGACCGTAAAAATCCCCTGTTCGGTGAATCTCCATGCCCAGAAGTCTTCCAAATCCACCGGTCCAATGGGTATGGCAGCCACCTGTTTCAGATCATTGGGGCCAAGAAAATCGGCCAGTAGGTCGAACTTCCATTCCCTCGAAACCTCATCGATCCATTTATCTGCAGTAGTCAGGTCCTGCCAGTCAAATTGAAGAAGGGGCCCTGCCCTGTCGAATCTCCACGGATCGTGGAAGACCTTCGTTGTTCTCCCATTGCCAATGACTCATCCATGATCAATCCTTGTCTCATCCATGATTTTGCTTCGCACAAGCTAGCCCAGATCCATGAGGCCTTTCCTCCCTTTTTTGCATTAAGGAAGTCCGAGTTGGGGAAGTAGATGCTCTTCAGAACTTTGACCCAAAGGGCATCCTTATTGGTGAGGATCCTCCATGCCTGCTTAGCCAGAAGCGCCATGTTGAAAGTATGGAAGGGGCGAAAGCCAAGACCTCCTTCCTTCTTCGGAGCATACAGTACATGTCTAGCTCTCCAGTGAATAGTCCTCCTCGTCATTGATCCTCCCCAGAAGAAGTTTTTGAGCATGGAATCCATCTTCTTCGTTGTACCCTTTGGTAAAAGGAATAAGCACATAATATAGGAAGGGATGGCCTGGAAGACCGCTTTCAGTAAAACTTCTTTCCCTCCTGGTGAAAGGAGGAGGCTCTTCCATGATTCTCCTCTACTCTCCATCCGTTGGAGGAGAAAGTTGAAAGTTTCTTTCTTGGACCTTCCCCACTCGGTAGGTACTCCAAGATAGTTGGAATGGGAGTTTGATGGTGCAAACCCAGCTTCCTGAATGATCCTTTCTTGCTCCACGCTAGGGACATTGAAGCTAAAGAACATAGATGATTTCTCCCTGTTGACTTCTTGCCCTGTGATAGCCCCATAGTTGTTTAGAATATCAAGGATTTTCCCTGCTTCTTCAGTCGTGGCTTCTCCAAAAATGACGGTATCATCAGCAAAGAGGCAGTGTGAGAGGGTGGGGCAAGACCGATTGAGTTTGATTCCTTTGATCCCGTTTCCTTGTACTGCTTTCTCGATCAAGAAAGAGAGAGCATTTGACATTAGAATAAATAGCAGGGGCGATAGGGGATCCCCCTGTCAAATGCCCCGAGATGGTGCAAAGCTGGTTGAGGGCTCGCCATTGAATAAAAGACTGAAGTTGACAGTAGAGATGCATGACTGGACCCAGTTACACCAGACATCACTAAAGCCATAAGCCCTGAGGAGGTTAAGTAGAAGGTCCCATTCCACTAGATCATAGGCCTTTATCATATCTAATTTCATCATCATCTCCTTTCTGTTCCCTGTTTTGTGCTTTTTGAAATGATTGAGCACCTCATGAACAATGATTATGTTGTCTTGGATCTGTCTCCCCCTGTAAAAGCAGCCTGTAGCTCATTGACCAAATCAGGAAGCCACGGTTGCAGTCTGTTTGTCATTATCTTGGTGATAACCTTATACCTGAAGTTGCAGCAGCTAATCGGTCGAAATTGGCTAATCAACTCAGGAGCTTCAATCTTTGGAATGAGAGTGATAAACGTGTTATTCCAATTCTCGGGCATAAGACCTGTGTGAAAAAAACCAGAAACCTCTTGACAGAAGATGTCACCGATGGTAGTCCAGTATTTCCTGAAAAAGAGGCATGGGAAACCATCAGGGTCTGGCGCTTTATTTGCTCCCAACTGGAACACCGCTCTGCGAATCTCATCCTTCCCCACTGGCGCATTTAGGCCAAAGTTCACCTCATCCGTAACCAGTTTGGGCAAGCCTTCAAGGATACTAGGGTCCCAAGCCCTGCCATTGCTGGTGAAAAGATTAAGGTAAAAATCCTTTGCATGAGAATTCA